CCCAAAGTGAGGGGGCTACAAAGGCAAGAAATGACTGGCTTACAAGCTTTCAAAAGGGAACCTAGATCCAGAGGGCATGGAGGAAGGGAGAATCTCCACTGAGTAGTATCCAATCTGTCTGGGCGGGGCTGATGAAAGAAGATGTGGATAGGTCTCTTGTGGTGCAATAGTGAATAATTGTTATCAGGACTGACTGCAAGGGTTGGAAATGTAAAGGCAGACATTTTGTAGAGGGGAGTGATAGACTTTGCAGTCTAGGAGCAGAGATCCATGGGACCATCAAGGGAGAAGAGCGGAGAGCAGGACCCTACCCAGAGAAGCAGTGACACCAGTAATGGAGGCAGAGATGATGACATGGAGAGCTGGAGCAGTTGGGGACTTTAGACCCAGAGAGGGAGTGGGGCTGTTTACTGATGAATGGGGGGCAGGCTTGCAGGGTATGCCCTTTGGTTGGTTGATGATACATGGAGGGGACTGTAACCATGGCAATGAAACAATATATGATAGGATGAATGTAAAGCTAATGTTCTCTCATGTAAACTATCACATAATTCACAATAAAACATTAAAAAAAGAGACTGTTTAATAATTAAGGAGCTTTATAATAAGGTCGGTTTGAACTGCAAGGTCAGAGGTTCAAGCTTACCAGCCGCTCCTTGGAAAACCCTATACAAGGTCGTTATAAGTCAGAACCTACTCGACAGCACTTAACAACAATAAAATAACAAGGAGTCCTGGTGTGGCACTGTGGAATAAAGCACTGGACCGCAAAGTCGACGTGAATCAGAAGGTTGGTGGTTCAACTCACCAACCGCTCACTGGAAACCCTACACAGGGTCACTATCATCTATCTGTCCATCTATCACATGGAGTCCTAGTGTGATGCTCTGGACTGCAGAAGGCCTCTCGTAAAGTATACAAGTGTTTAGCCAGTGTAAGGACAAAAGTGTGCCTGACCCAAGCCATGGCCTTTTCAATCACTTCATGTGCATGCAAAAGCTGGACAACGGCTAAGGAAAACTGCAGAAAAAGCAATGCCTTTAAATGATAGCACTGGATAAGAATATTGAGGAATCCTGGTGTGATGCTGGAAGATAAGCACTGGACTGCTAACCAATAGGCCGGAGATTCAAGTCCACCAGCTGCTCTTCATAAACCCTACACCGACCGGTCGCTCTGAGTGGGAACCCACTCAACAGCACTGAACAACAAGAATATTGACTACACCATGGACGGCCAGTAGAACTAGCAAAACTGTTGACAGAAGTGTGGCCAGATTGTTCCTTGGAAGCAACAATTATGAGACTTTGTCTCTCATTCTTTGGACATATTGTCAGGAAGGACCGGTCCCTGAAACAGGACATCGTGCTTGGTGTAGCGGAGGGTCAGTGACAAAGAGGAAGACCCTCAAGGAGATGGACTGACGCAGTGGCAGCAACCATGGGATCAAACACAGCAACAACTGTGAGGACAGTGTAGGACTGGGCAGTGTTTTGTTCTGCTGGGCACAGGATCACTGAGGCAGAACTGACTCGACAGCACCTCACAACAACAATCTGTAAGCAGACTGCCACATCTTTCTCCCAGGGAGCAGTTGGGGGGTTCAAATTGCCGACCTTTCAGTTAACCACTGAGAGCTTAACCACTGCCATCAGGGCTCCTTAAATACAAAAACACTCGTTCTGAATCCACCTTTTCTTCGCATTGTACCATTAGCCTACACTGACTTTCTCCACTATCTCCCCAAGAAAGCTCACTCAGCAAACGGATGTCACATCCCCGCTGGAAACGTCCCCTGACCTCCTTCGGCCGAGTCTCCTTTGGAGAATGAGTCTGGTTTGAAGAACGGTATCAGCAGCAGCAATGGTGACCCCAGGAGAGCCACCAAGTCAAATCCCAGCTCCCTGCCCCACCAGCTGTGATTCATGCCTGCCTTCCTTCATCTCTGAACAGCAACCGATGTTTCACTGGATTGTTGTGAGGGTTAAGGCAAGGCCAAGGTACACTGCCTCACACAGAGTAAGCGTGAATAAATCTGTTATATTCTTATTTATTCCATTCTGGGATCCTACTAGAGCAACTTGTACAAACCTCTATTTATCACACAAGTGTATTCACAGGAGTAAACCCTGGTGGCACATTGGTGAAACGCTCAGCTGCTAACCTAAAGGCCAACAGTTGAAACTCACCAGCCGCTCCACGGGAGAAGGATGAGGCGGTCTTCTTCCATAAAGATGAGTCTTGGAAACCCTCGGGGACAGTTCTACCTCAGGCCACGGACCCGCTCGCTGTAAGCAGGAATCCACCTGACAGCACTTGGTTGCGTTTGGTAATAACCTGACTGCCCAGGCAAGACGTTGACCCACTGCCCTGGAGTCATTCTAACTCACAGGACCCTGTGGGCCAGTGTGGAGCTGCCATCTTTTCTGTCTCCTTTCTCCCTCGAACCCGCTAGTGAGTTCAAACTGATGAATGTTTGCTTAGCAGCGGAGTCAGGGCCCCTGACTATCTTCCATATATAACCTTATTCCCACCCCGGGCACCATGCCTGGTACATAATGGGCTCTTAAAGTTTGAACAAATCCACTGATTTGAAATCTACTTCAAATCCTGAGTCCATAGAACATATGGCCTCAATTTTATTTTCTTCTAATGGCCTGACTAAACCTTCTTTGCATCTCCCTGTTGTACAAAATTGCTGCTTTACGTAAAGTTTTAAGAGGTCAGTTTCATTTTAATTAACAGCAAAAAAAAAAAAATGTATGTATATATATATATATAGAGTTATTGGCCTTACATTGCTTTTGTTTCTCCAACTACCACACGCAAAAATTAAACCCACAAGACTCTCAACAATTTTCTAACATAACAATATAAAAGACCAAAGTTCAGGGGATGGAGAGCTATGTTTCTTCTTCTCAAAAATGTTTAAAGGAGCAATCAAGCTGGGCATTCTAAACTGGTGCCCCTACATTATTATCACCAGGCTCTCAGCCAGAGCAGAGCAAACACTAGAACAGAACACTGCTCATTTTTAAAACATGCTTCTGAGAGATTCTGAAAAACACGGAAATGATCAAAGGTGCCATAGTGGTGCTGCAGGATAAGCACTGGACTGCTAACCACAAGGTCAGCAGTTCAAACTCACCAGCCACCCCAAGGGAAAAATGAGGTTGTCTGCTCCTGAAAAGATTTACTCTCAGAAACCCTACATAGGGTCCCTATGACTGGGAACTGACTCAACTGCACCTAACACCAATAATCCACTCCTAAAGGATCCTGGTGGCAAAGTGGTTTAAGAACTGGGCTGCCACCCACGAGGTCCAAGGTTCAAACCCATTAGTTGTTCCAAGAGAGAAAGATGAGGCTGTCTGCACCCATCGATTTGTTGTTGTTGTCAGTTCCAATTCATAGTGACCTTACAAAGTGTTTCCAAGAGCGGCTGGTGGGTTTTCAGTCTTAGAAATTCTAAAGCGCAGTTCTGTCTGTTCTACTGAGTGGCTATGAGTCAGAATCACTGTTGTTGTTGTTTTGTGCCGTTGAGTCCGTCCCGACCCATAGTGACCCTGAACAGGGTTTCCAAGACTGTAACTCTTTATGGGAGCAGAAAGTCTCATCTTTCTCCTGCGGAACAGCTGGTAGTTTCGAACTGCTGACCTTGCGATTCGCAGCCCAACTTGTAACCACTAAGCTACCAGAGCTCCTTGTGAGTCAGAATCACTACTAGTGTTTAAAGCCAATGCTTTAAACACTAAAGCACTGTAGTTAAGATTCATTAACAACTTACAACGTGCAGATGACACAACTTTGCTTGCTGACAGCAAAGCGAACTTACAACACTTCTGAAGATGATGTTCAAAGACCACAGCCTTCAGCATGGATTCGACCTTATTGTGAAGCAAACAAAATCTACACAACCGGACCAGTACCATCATGATAAATGAAGACAAGACTGAAGTTGTCATGGATTGTGTTTTACTTGGGTCCACAATCAAGGTCCAAAGAAGCAACAGACAAACCGTCATTAGGTAAACCTACTGCACAAGACCTTTTTATAAGGTGTTTAAAAGTAAATATGTCTCCTTGAGGACTCAAGCCATGGCATTTCCAATCACCTCGGATGCATGTGAAAGCCGGAGAAGGGACACAGAAGACCAGAGAAGAATCTCTGCATTTGAATTACGGTATTAGAGAAGAGTACTGAATATACCACATACAGCCAGAACGCATCTGTCTTGGAGAAAGCAGAGCCACAGTGCTCTATAGAAGGAAGATTGGCGGGACTTCATCTCACATTATTTAGACATGTCTTCAGGAGAGAACAGTCACTTGAGAAGGACATCTTGCTTGGTAGAAGGACAGCAACAAGAGGACACTCCTCAATGAGATGGAACGGCAGTGTCTGCAACAATGGACTCAACTCCGCAAATTTGTAAGGATGGCGAAGGACAGGGCAGGGTCGCTGAGTCGGAACAGACTTGATGGCATCTAACAAACAATCATCTAAATCTACACTAATTTTCAAAACTGAAATACTCAATCTGTTATGTAGGCAGTATTCAGTCTGCTAAGTGTGGGGGGACCTCATTTTACAACCATGGGTCTAATTTTAAAAATGCAAAACGGGGGAGAAGAAAAACAGATACCAACTAGTAAACCCAATGGTCTCTCATCTACCTCTACAAACAATCTTAAATATCGCTGCCCGTTGAGCTACCGTTAATTGATGGTTTCATTTGCAAAGACTCTGAGCTCCTTTAGCATTAAGGTGATCCGATACCGAGACATCAGGGGACGGATTCATTCCCAGGTGTGTGACATACATACGGTTCTGCACCGACAGCAGCACCCAGGGAGGATCAGAGGCGGGCAGGCCCAGGCCCTGCAGCCGGTGGCTGCTCATCCCTGGGACTGCCCAGGGCGGTGGCTCGGCCGGGGTGGGGCCGAGCGCTGCAGCCGAGTGGGTCCAATGAATGGCAAGGCGGGAAACCCAATCTCACCTCCACTTCCCTTTCCCGGCGCACAGAGCCCAGGTCCAGGACCACCCTGGAGCCCCCTCAAGGCAAAGACAGATTTGCTTTCCCTCAATCCGCTCAAAGTTTGTCGGTCGCTCCCAGTGACCAGGGCCGCCGGGCTTTGTAGTTCGCCGGTCCAAACCACTCCACCGCAGCTTCGAGCCCGAGGCGTCACCGAACTACAATCCCCAGGATGCCCCGCGATCCCGTGCTCCCCTCCCCCACGACGGCCGGCTCCTGGCCCCGGCGTCTCCGACCGCTCACCGGCGGGTCAAAAGATGGGGCGTGGCCGTCCTCCGTGACTGCCCCACCACCTGCTCTCCCGCTGGCGCAGTCTCCCTTGGGCTCATTACCTAGGTGCCGCACGTGGCCGGATGACCCGTGGGCGCCGAAGTCCAGGTGGGTGGGGGTGGGGCTGAAATCGCAGCTGCCGCCTCCGAGTCCGTTACTTCGCGACATGCGTGGAAGGCGGCGCGGCGGTGGACGGTTGCCATGGCAGCGCGGGCCGGCGGCGGGGGAAGCGCGGGAATGGAGGGGGCGGGACCTGAGGACGTGGGGCGGGCAGAGCAGGGGGACAGCGACTTTGAGGTAATTGTGAACTGGGTGAGCGCCGGTCCTGCACAGCTGATTCTCCTGCCCGATGCAGGAGCAGCCTGCGACCTCCTGCCGCAACCAGGGATCCCCCGCTGACCCTAATCCAGGCTGGTGTATTTGCAGCCTAAACCCCATCGAGTTGATTCCCACTCATAGAGACCCTATAGGACAAACAGAAGTCCTTAGGGTTTGTGAGACTGTCAAGGTGGAAGCAGACAACCTAGTCCTTCTCCGTGATCAGATAGAATCCCCCATCTCGGACCACCTTCTTGGGATTCCACCGAGCAGACGGATGGAAAAGCATCACACAATGGGAAGTAGTCAGTCACCCTTAGAATGATGAGTCAGGAGGTTTTAGAACTTGGAAGTGTCATTTTCTTTAGAAACCAACCCTAATAACTAAGCAACCCCACGACAGTACATCTGCCCTATGGGTTTTCTGGGCTGACATCTCTACCTGGAGCAGATTACAGGTCTCTCTTCTGCCCTGCTGCAAAATAGGTTCAAACCACCCACACTTTCATGAGGAAATATGGTAAATTCTGGGAGAGGAAAAAGTGTTCTAAGGGTGTAAAGGATTCAGAATCCCATCCCTTTAGATCCTACAGATGTCTATTCCAAATCTTAGCAACCTGTTTAGGATCCCAAGGAACCCCAAGGTCACCAGTCACTCCTTGCAAACTCTGTACAGGGTTGCTTTGAGTCGGAATCGACTCACTGGCACTTAACAACAACAATCTGAATATAAAGTATGATCTTTAATCAAGACCTGCCTGTATTACTGAATTGTGACAGAAGTACATACACATACCAAGCTAACAGTGTGCCTGGAACCCCCCTGTACTGTCTTCACAGTTTCCCTGTAACTCTAAAACACAGTTTATTAAACCAAATGCAATTGGACAATGGGCAAAAGATATACAGAGACACTTACGGAAGAGACTTCACAGATGGTACATTGTTGTTGTTAGGTACCATCGAGTCCGTTCCGACTCATAGTAACTCTATGATCTATGACCCTGACATCTTTGCTCTTGAACACTTTAAACAGGTTTTACACAGCAGACTTGCTAAATGCAATACGTTGTTTAATTGCTTGACTACAGCTTCCATGTATGTTGATAGGGGATCCAAGCAAAATGAAGTCTTTGACAACGTCAGTCTTTTCTCCGTTTATCATAATGTTACTTCTTGGTCCCATTGTGAGGATTTTCATTTCTCTACATTGAGGTGCAATCTATACTGAAGGCTATAGTCGTTGATCTTCATCAGTAAGTATATCAAGTCCTCTTCCAGCAAGCAAGGTGTGTCCGCTGCATATTTTAGGTTGTTAATGAGCCTTCCACATTCTTCTTCATATAGTCCAGTTCTTGGATTATTTGCTCAGCCTAATGGATTACAAACTGGACTGCTAACCGCAAAGTCAGTAGTTCAAATCCACCAGTTGCACCATGGGAGAAAGATGAGGCTTTCTGCTCCCATAAAGATTTACAACCTCAGAAACCCTATATAGGGTTGCTAGGAGTCAGAACCGACTCGGTGGTTCACCATCACCATCACCACCACAGATTAAGTATGGTGAAAGAATACAACCCTGGCACACACCTTTCCTGATTTTAACTACTCAGTGTCCCCTTGTTCTGTTCAAACAACTGCCTCTGTTCTATGCAAACTCGTGAGCACAAGTTTTCTGAACTACCCATTCTTCACAATATTATCCACAGTTCATTATGAGCCACGTAGTAAAATGCCTATACATAGTCAATAAGGCATAGATAAACATCCTCCCAGTGGTATTTTTTTTTTTTTTTTAAACAACCTCCATCTGACAGCAGCAATGATATCCCAATTCCACATCCTCTGCTGAATCCAGCTTAAATTTCTGGATGAAGTACTGCAACCATTTTTAAATTCCCTTCACTAATTTTACTTGCATGTTATATTGTCCGGTGATCTCTGCATTCTATTGGATGGCCTTTGTTTGAAATTGGCACAGGTAAGGATCTCTTCAGCTATTTGTTGGCCAGATTGCTATTTGTTGCCAAATTTTGGGCATAAATGAGCGAGCACCTCTACTGCTCCATCAGTTTGTTCATAGAGTTCCATTGCAGCTTTGATTTTCGCCAATACCTTTGTGCAGCTTGAACTTCTAACTTCAGTACCATCGGTTCTTGATCATGTGCTAACTCTTGAAATGGTTGACCTTCGACCAATTCTTTTAAGTACAGTGACTGGTATTCCTTCCATCTTCTTTTGATACTTACCGCATCATTCAATATTTTGCCCATATTGTTGTTCTTAAGTGCTGCTGAGTCGGCTCTGACTCATAGCAATCCTGTATAAGGTTTCCCAGGAGCAACTGGTGGGTTTGAACTGTCACCCTTGTGGTTCACAGTCCAATGCTGATCCTACAGCACCACTCCAGGATTTTTGTTGTTGTTAAAAACCATTGAGTCGATTCCAACTCAATAGCCACACCAGGATGTTGTTGTTGTAGGTGCCATCTAGTTGGTACCAACTCATAGTGACCCTATTATGTACAACAGAACGAAACACTGCCCTGTCCTGGGCCAACCTCACAATTGTTGCCATACTTGAGCCCATTGATGCTGACACTTGGCCAATCCATCTCGCTGGGAGTCTTCCTCTTTTTCTCTGACCCTCCACCTTACCAAACATGATACCCTTCTCCAGTGACTGGTCCCTCCGGACAATATGTCCAAAGTATGAGAGACGAAGTGTGGCCATCTTGGTCTCTAAGGAGCACTCTGCCTGCACTTCTTCCAACACAGATCTCTTGGTTCTTTTGGCAGCCATGGAACTTGCAATATTCTCCTCCAACACCATAACTCAAAAGCATCATTTCTTTTACGATCTTCCTTATTCACTGTCGCGCTTTTGCATGCATATGAGGTTATTGAAAATACCATGGCTTGGGTCAGGTGTGCCTTAGTCCTCAAGCTGATATCTTTGCTCTTCAACACTTTAAAAAGATCTTGTGCAGCAGATTTGCCTAATGCAATACGTTGTCTGATTTCTTGACTGCTGCTTCCATGAGTGTTGATAGTTGATCCAAGAAGAATGAAGCCCTTGACAACTTCAATCTTTTCTCCATTGATAAGAACGTTGTTTATTCGCCCAGTGGTGAGGATTTTTGTTTTCTTTACATTGAGATGCAATCCATACCGAAGGCTGTGTTCTTTGATCTTCATTGGTAAATATTTTAAGTCTTCTTCACTTTCAGCAAGCAAGGTTGTATCATCTGCATATCGCAGGTTGTTAATGAGTCTTCCTCCAATCCTGGTGCCACGTTTTTCTTCATAGAACCCAGCTTCTCAGATTATTTGCTCAGCATACAGGCTGAATAAGTATGGTGAAAGAATACAACCCTGTAGAACCATTCAATATTGCAACCTGAGGCATGAACTTTTTCAATTCTTTTAGCTTGAGAAATGCTGAGTGTGTCCTTTCCTTCGTGTTTTCTAACGCCAGGCAGATCTCTGCACATTTCATTATGATACTTTACCTTGTCTTCTCGAGGTTCTGGTCAGAATTTTCTCTTCAGCTCTTTCACTTCATTTCTTCCAGTTGCTTTTGCTACTCTGTGCTTAAGAGCAAGTTCCAGAGTCTCTTCTGAAATTTTCTTTCTTTCCTGTCTTTTGTTGATCCTTTTCTTTCTTCTTGTTTGATATTCTTGATGCTATCCCACAACCCTTCTGGTCTTTTAGTCAATAGTGCCTAATGCATCCAATCTGTTCTTCAGATGATCTCTCAATTCAGGTGAGATGTGCTAAAGGTCATATTTTGACTCCCATGAACTTATTTAAAATTTCTTCAGCTTCAGCCTGAACTTGTATATGAGTAACTGGTGGTCTGTTCCACAGTCTGCCCCTGGCCTTGTCTTGTCTGATGTCATTGAGCCTCTCCGCCATCTTGTCCCCCAGATGTCATCTATTTGATGGATGTGCATGCCATCTGGTGAAGTCCATGTTGCGTAAAAGAGATATTTGCAATGAATAAGTTGTTGGTCTTGCAGAATTCTGTCATGTGATCTCTAGCATCATTTCTATCACCAAGACCATATTTTCCAACTAATGATCATTCCTCTTTATTTCCAACTGTCTCATTACCAGTATCAATGCATCTTGCTTGCATGTTTGATCAATTTCTGACTGGAAAGGTTGGTAGAACTCTTCAATTTCATCATCACTGGCATAAATTTGATTAATAGTGGTATTAAACTGGTCTTCCTTGTAGGCATATGGATATTATCACAGACAGCATTGTACTTCAAGACAGATCTTGAAATGCTCTTTCAGGTGATGAATGTGATGCAATTTCTCTTCAATTTGTCATTCCTGGCATAGCTTGAACAGATTGTCTATTCAAAATGGACAATACTAGTTCATTTCAGCTCATTAATGTCTAGACTACCAAGGTTTATGCATTCCATTCCATTTTTGATGACTTCC